AGGGGGTTGGGGTTTGGTGGATGGGGGTGGGTTGGTGGGGATGGCAAATATTGAGAACGAGTTTTAGAAAATGTTTTCCCTTCTCTTGATAGGGAAAATTTTTCTCCAATTGGAGGAAAATGATTTGATGAGAAAATGTTTTCCAAAACATTTAAGCCAACCAAACATGAAAAAATTGGAAAACATTTTTCGGAAAATATTTTCTTTCATGCCAAACACACCCTTAGTCCGCATAAATAGGATGTAATATGATTAAAATAGCAAAGGACTTCAGACTTCAGAGTTTTCTTATCTGAATTACTAGTACTTTGTCAAAAACATACATGGATTTAGATTAACCATAACTTCATCGCAAAATTCAATAACTAGTAGAACTACTGGTCCAAAAGTTTCAGTAAAAGCAGATACCGAATGCCTTAGCCTTGGCGCTAAATTGCTAAATAATGGAATAACTGTTTAAAGAAAAACCCAAATACAGTGGCCTCCGTAAGTTTATTTATATAAATATATAAAAGTTTTTTTGAGGAAATTGCATAGTTCTTAGAAGTTTGAGATCTTTAATTGAACTTGCTCTATAGCCTCATTCAAACTAGACAGCCATATAATATAGAATCCGTTGCAGAGAATGAAACTCTAACTATATAAAAGAGATATTCTTAAATAACCATTGATTTTTCCAATCTTGCACGGAATGCAGAAGCAATCCAACTTCTCTTCTCACTTTTCTGATTGAACCAGAAAATATGAATACTGTAAGAACTCAAACCTTACTAAACGAACAGATATTATCAAATATGCACAAGCAAAACTCAATCATTAAAGGCTTCTGGTCTTCAAACAGAAAACGCTCTGGAAAACAAGCAGGTCTATAAATCATTTAAGTTCAAAATTTGGACAGGAGTCTGAAATTCAGCCCTGTTACAAAATTGGCATCCGAGCTCTATTTGTATAATTTGTACACTTTCTTTTAGTAAGTGAAGCTAACTTGTTTTTGCTTAAAGAGCAAGGCCACAACAACAATTTTGGGATTCTGCGAATGGAAAAATCAGGTAATCTCCATCATGCAATGGCAGGATCATTTTACACTTACTAGCTCAACATCAAATACCAACCATGAATTGGGTGGTATGGCGCCACCAGCACCTTTAGATCCATACCTGTAACAAAAGAAAGGTGCTCATTAGGCAACAGCAATTCAAAGGATGTCTATAGACAGAAACTAGTAAATTGCTTAGAAAATGATTAAATTGGTTCTGGATTTCTTTACTCCACTGATGCACTTTTCTCCCCCAAGCAAGGGAAATTCTAGTCAATGCCCTAATTAGGGCCATGTTGAAGGTTTTCATGCTCTTGAGCTAATGATAAATGGAGATTATACAGAATTTGCTAATAGAATACAAACTTAAATGACATACCCCATGACTGGTGGGATTGTAAGTCTTCTTTTGTCCCCAATGCGCATGCCTGGCAGTCAGATTTAGATAAAATCTTAGTACTCAACACAGGAAATGTAACAATAAATTAGAGAAATGATCAGGTTTACTTATCACGTTAATTACCATTTACACCGACATCCCAACCCTTTATAACTTGACCAATACCTACAAGCACAAAAATGCAAGCTTAACACAGCAAAATAAATAGAGGTCGTCTTCTTTAAATACTATAAAATATAATACCTAAACGGAATTCAAAAGGTGTTCTTTGCCCAATGTTGGAATCGAATATTTTGCCATTCTTCTTCAGCTTGCCGATATAGCGTACACCAACCTATTCAGTGGCAGAAAGTCATTATTAATAACAAGTGTGCTCCATACAAAGTTCATCGAAGAGAACTCAAAGATTGAGAAACTTTAAATCCTGATTGACTTAATTGTGACTACCAAGATTTCATTACGTTCCACGGCAGAGTGAAAGAACAATTGATCACATAGAGTCAAAAAAAGAAAACTATACCTTACTTCCTGGGAAAGCTCTTTTCCCATCCGGCTTGCCCATTGCCAACTCCTCTATGACCAACCCATTTCCATAGGTCCTCAATTGAGAAGGCTTAGTCTCTTCATTTTCCTCCACCTCCTGTGATCCATTCTTTTTATCTTGTTCAACCTCTGTAANTGTATCTGCTTTTCCATCCTGTTGATTTTTCTTGTTCTTTTTCTTTTTCTTCTTTTTCTCAGTATCCCTGGAACAAGTTTTAGTGGAAAAATAAGACTTCTTACTAGTAAAGGCAACGGAGTTTGATAAAAGATAACAGTCAGCACATGGAAGCTGGCCAGAATCTAGAAGAACGTGTAATTGGATAAACTTTAAGCTAGATGGCGCCTTTAGTTATGCAAATAACAATCCAGATTCCTCACGAAGCATATCAGTCTTTAACCTTATTCTTTTCTATTCTAGACTACAATAGATCAGAACTTACTTTTCATCAGTTGACCTCTGACCATCTTCGGTTTTACCTACTGGAACTGGCTCATCATTAGCCTCTGCATGCTCTGACTTGTTGTTTGATCCATTTTGACGAGCCAACTCCTCATCCATTAACTTTTTCTTCTTATTCTTTTTATTTTGCTTAGCGTTGTTTTCCATCACCACATTGTCTGCTCTGCTTTTAGGATAAGAAGAAAACAGAACTATCATCACTAAATAAATCACGAAAGCTAGGCTTAATACTGAGATCGAGAAGATAGAATATAGCCACATGCTAAATTCAAAATTCACAATACACACTAAAGTAAAATGCTCCTCACCTTTGACCATCATTGACTTTGCTAGTATCATCACGACCTCTTTTTTTTAAGCCTTTCCTCTCATCAACAGTATCTCTTGCCTTCTCATTCAATACTTCCTCATGGGTATCCTGATCTTTAATTCCATCTGATTTTAATTTTGATCTCACTGATTTAGCTTTGTTTTCATTGGGAGCAGATATCGGGAAGCCATCTTCATCTTCACTCTCCAGCAGAGGACTGCCAGTATTACTCTTGACAACTATTTGGCGCTCAGAGTTCTCTGTGTCATCAGTCCCATTTGACTGGTTTTTCTTCTTCTTTGGCCTTTTGGATTTAGCATTTTCATCTTTAGGCTTTTCATCCTCCACTATCTCTTCAATTTTCACTTTTCAAAATGCAAACAAAATGTAAGGCATTTTAAAATACAAGGAAATATGCATTTCAAAATGCATAATCAAAATAAGCTAATAGACTAAACTACGCAATAAAACTGTTGTGTCATATAAGGTCCTTTTCCCTAAATACACTTCATATATATTCAAGATCAGATATACATACTCACTCGAGGAATCAATGGTATGAACATTTATTACTACTCATTATCAATGTATTATCAATAAAGAACCAATTCCATAATGGAAAGCCAAGTTTTCAACTTTTTGGGTGGAAAGGTGGACATGGTCCTAGGAGCAGCAGAAAAATATTCAACTATGATAACATGTTATCTGATGCTATATGGGGCGGAGTGTTGGCCACTTAAGAACTCACACGTGCAGAAGATGAAAGTAACAGAAATGAGGATGTTGAGATGGATGAGTGGGTATACCACGAGAGATAAGATTAGGAATAAAGTTATTCGGGAAAAGTGGGAGTAGCCTTCGTGGAGGACAAGATGCGAGAGTCGAGACTGAGATGGTTCAGGCACATAAAGAAAAGCAATGATGCTCCTGTCAGGAGATGTGAGAGGCTGATCATGGCGGGTTTGAGAAGAGGTCGAGGTAGGCCAAGGAAGTATTGGGGAGAGGTGATTAGACATGATATAGCGCGGCTTCAGCTTACTGAGGACATGACCCTTGATAAGAAGGTATGGAGGTCGAGGATTGGGATAGAAGAGTAGTTGTATGTTTCTCCTTTTCTTACCAGTTACTTTAGTAGCACTCAGGTTCCTACATATGCTTAAGTAGATCGTTACTTTATCATGTGATTTAGTTCGCTTCTGTTATCGTATTTCTTGTTGTTAGTGTTTACCCAACACACACAGTTCTTTTCATTCTTTTAATTTATTAATTTATTTATTCTCTTTCTTCTTCTTACCCCCTTGTCTTCTTGTCTTCTTTCCCTTCTTCTTCTCACTTTTTCTAAGCCGAGGGTCTATTGGAAACAACCTCTCTGCCTTTACTAGGTAGAGGTAAGGTCTGCGTACGCACTACCTTCCCCATACCCCACTTGTGGGAATATACTGGGTTTGTTGTTGTTGTTGTAACATGTTATCTGAACAGATCCTCATTCTTAATCGCACGAATTAACTATTTGAGTTATAGGTGCAACATTTTTTGCCAAACTAGTAAATGTCATGCTTTCAGAAGTCATAAAAGAAATTAATATTGACAAAGAACAAGTCCTAGAAATTAAATTCTTCCTCCAACAGATTTTTTCTTTTTATCAGTCCCCTGACAGTGATTTTCTTTTGATAAGGAACAACCTAGAAAACAAAACATAGTTTCATTTTTATCAAGTCCTGAAATAGTTCCACCTACTTGAAGAAAAATATTTTCCTTTTTCTCTTTGATAAGAATGGCCTGTGAATTAGCTAGCCTAACCCTAGTTGGCCCAGAGGTTCAAAACTTGAGGAAGTATGGACCTGCTCCTCTACTCTGCGCCCACTTATATACCAGACTTCGTGTTAAAGGGTGGTTGTAATGATTTAAGGAGAAATTTTTCTTTTCTTTTCTTTTAAACCACCTATAACATTTCTCTATATTATACTACTAAAAGTTCAAACACTTCATACACCATTGGCAGTTTCTTCCGAGACCCAAAGAAAAAAGTATTAAGCAAAGTTACCTCCACTGTTGGGAATAGGTGAAGGTGGATACATGCAAAAATCATCATCAGTTGAGCCATCCTCGTCTTCATTTTCTGTGTCATACTCAAATTCGATTGAATCATCAGACTCACTATCAGTCTCAGCAGCATCCTCCTCATAAAGATCGCTTTACACCAATGTCAAGGAACGCATAAAATAGATTCAAGCCTTCAACAAAACAGATTCTTTTACGTAANCTTTACACCAATGTCAAGGAATGCATAAAATAGACTCAAGCCTTCAACAAAACAGATTCTTTTACGTAATTCCATAAATCAAAATCGTAAAATTAAAGCTGAATAAAAAAATAGCATCTAGAGGATACGATCCATATTCATTTCCACAGCAACCCTCACTCTCTCCATAAAAGAAACCAGATAGATGAACATTGTGAGAACCAACAACTGAAAAGGTAACTTCTTCCTCCTCCTCAAACTCGAGATTCAATGGGCATGTCTCCAGTTTTTCTGGCAGTAAGGAACACAAGTAAATCGGCTTCTTATCACCTACTATACATTGAACGATGCTTTTTTTGTTTGTTGAGCCAGTGCCTAATGTTGCCTGAATCATGCAGAAAACAAATGAAATAAGCATAATAATGAGAAGGAAAAAAATGTACCTTAAACAAGTGCAAATGGACATGGGACACCAAAGATAACTTCCACATATTTCTAGATGAGCTAACTCGTCTTTGCTATACACCAATAAAGCTTAATGCTCCTTTCCAAATTTAGTACAACAACAAACCTAGTGAAATCCCACAAATGGAGTATGGGGAGGCTAGTGGGTACGCAACCCTTACCCCTACCTTAAGAGGGTAGCGGGGTTGTTTCCTGTGGACCCTCTGCTCTGGACCAGAAAAAGGAGCAATAAACAAACAATAGCAACAACAATGTAATATGACAAAGAAAGCAAATGGCAAGTAATAACAAAGATCTAGGAAAGGAGGATCTAGTGTTAGGAAAAAAGTTAGGATTATGCTTTGTACACAAAAACATAATTCGACCAAATTATATGACCGAAAACCTAAACGATTGATATACTAATTCTTTATTTGATAAAATTCCCATGTATTCTGACAAAACAAGATATCAATAACCCAATATGTGACAAGCATCAATACCACCATTTCGTAACTCTAAGCACTTCAACCACATCGACGAAAAATATAAGTAAACAAGAAGAATATAAAATTTTAACAATATCTAAATTCTGTCAACTTGGAAGGAACTAGGAAGTTGCTCCGAGGACCTACAATCTCTTGGGACAATGCAAACTTAAGCGATTAGTTGGAGAAAGATTTTAGTCACGTTATCACTTTTACTTTACGTCCTATGTTTTCCTAGGAGTTATTTAGCCTTTCAGAGATTTAGATGTGGGTAGAAAATATAAAGAACTTGTAGTACTTTTTATTTTGTACAATATTGGTCTCAGATGAGTTAGTATGGAGTAACATGGTCAATGAAGATTCATATAACCGACTCCAACTTGTTTGGGATTGATATATAGGTGTTGTTGTCTATCCAAATTATATCAAGGCCAAAGATTCTAAATGCTACAATAGTTCAAATGAACATACAATTAGTCACATGAACATCGTAATGGGGAAAGCAAGTGTTTAAACTATTGAAACAAACCTGAGAGACATGAAGTCTACCACGCTCACTTTCAAAATTATGAGTGAATGGTTTACCAGGCTTCAATTCAACTCCTGAAAGCAGACACAAAAGAAAATGAGAGACTTATAAATTTATATGATTAGTGCATTTCGTTTCTTCTGTTAAAAATTGGAATTCATATATGAAAATAACGGAAAGAGACCCCAGAACGCCATTGCAAAAGGAGAACTGGAAGCTGCAGGGTTTTTCTAAAACCCTAAACAATAGACCGTTCGCTTCTTTTTCCTGCTGTCCTAAAGATGTTAAAGTATTTATGGGCCTTTTGGATACTGATTGAACTTGAGCCTTTTTCCGATACAGATGGAAGTTTCTAGAAGTACCGATCCAATTTTTCTTTTTGGGCCTTTTTTAAATTTGACCACATATTGAAAGGATTTTTACATTCCTATGCCATATAGTAAACTATATTACTCTAAATGTTCATGTTTAGTAAATTACCCTATCTACACAAGTTTTGTTTACAAAATATATACATTCCACCTTAAAAGGCTCCAAATTCATTATTAGTACCTTCAATTAAGGGATTTAGTTACATCATTTTCCTTTTTTTTTTCTTCTCCTCTCTCCCCTTTCTCTCCGAATCTTCCATTATGTTCCGCTGATTTCTTCAAGAAGGTTTCTCAGTTTTTACTTTTATTTGATATTTTTTCCTTCTGTATATCTGTGCATATACATTTTGCTGATATTTTTTTTTCAACAAGAGATTCTATCACTTAGAAGAGAAAAGCTTAAAGATGTATTTCATGGCTTCAAATAAAGTTACATTTCATGTTTTCGCTAAATAATTTTTGGGTCGTATTTTTTATTTTTATTTAGTACTTGTTTCTTCCTTGATTTCTTTTGCATCTCTCGTTTGGTTGCAACTTTCATCAGATGAGGAAACTTGTTTGAGTGCCTTCAATAATGAATAAAATTTATCTTTCAATGTGTATGGTTTTAGGAGATTACCAAAGGTCTCCTGATTTTGAAAATAATTACTAGAATATTGATTTGTGCCCAGAGAAAGACATAATTTTTCTTGACACTGGTTTTTGTTAACAGAAATTATGGTTACTTATGTGTAATGTTAGTGTAGTTTTGAGTTAGGCATACGTCTCCGTAAGTTCGCGAGGACAAATTGAGTGGATTTGAGTTTTCATTAATGAATAATGGTCCTCTTTGGTTCGTATTGTATCATATCTTCTACTACTATTTACATAGCAAATACAAATAGAATAGCTAACTTCACTTTCAAAGTTCCAACAGTTATTACGACGTGTTTATTTTTATACATTATTTATACACAATCAAATACAACTACAATATCATACAACTTAAATATAATTTTTATACAAAATTTATACAATATGTCCTTTGTATCTGATTTATACATAATAAAAATAAATTTCATACAACTAATTATATATTATACAATTTATCTACGACTTTCACATATTATTTCTACCTAGTTAAATACAACTAAAATAACATACAACTTAAATACAAATTTTATACAAAATTTTACAATATGTCTTTTGTATATTTTGCATTTTTTTGTACATAGTAAAAATAAATTTCATACAACTAATTATATATTATACAACATATCTACAACTTATCTACAATTTTCATACATTATTTCTACACAATTATATACAACTACAATATCANCTTCTTCTTCTTCTTTTTCGAGTTTCAATCTGAAATTCAGCCAAAACCAAGTCTAATCTTCACCCAAAACCCCCCTCAAAATTGAGATATAAACTCCAAACCATATTCCCAATTATTTGCAACAACACCCAATCCAAACAAATAATGATTTTTGAAAACCCAAATTCGAATTCAAAGCTTCAAAGCTTTTAAATGGCTGTCAATGGTGGAATTGTTGCTCTCTTTTCCTTTGCTTTATATTACTGAAATTTGGGATTGAGAGATAGAGAGAGACGTAGAGAGAATTCTCAATTCTTTGCAACAACATCCAATCCAAACAAATAATGTCTTTTGAAAACCCAAATTCGATCAAAGCTTTTTAATGGTTGTCAATGGTGGAGGAGTTACAGATTTTCGCCGATTTTAGAAGAGAAAATCGTGGGGTGTGGTTTGATACGTGGGTGAGGGGGTGTGATTTGGAGAGAGAAACTTGGGGGGGAGTGAGAATATACGGTAGAGTTAAATTAGAAGACTAATTAATACCATTAAAACCCCTAAAATGTACATAAATGGTAATTAGGCATATAAAAGGTAATTATATTAAAAGTTAAGCATAGAGGGTAATATAGTTTACTATATGGTATAGGAATATAAAAATTTCATATTAAAATGATCAGAACTTTTGAGGTCCAAACAACTGAAATTAAATGCTGGAAATGACATTAGGTAGCCATTCTTAAGTATGTTATTTAATATATACACACAATTTACAACATATTTAAAGATTAGTTAATTATAAAACTTCATGATACGATGTTCTCAAGGTTCAAACTTCAAGACATTGTTTCCTAAAGTTTAAAATTGTGTCCACAAATTCGAATCTTATGTTCTGAATTTTTAAATTAGCAGTATCTGAGTTACAAATTAGCATATCAAAAATTAAGGACACTAAGCCTTGACTTATAATTCAGGACTAGCCATACTAGCATCTCAAAAACATATTTAGTCATGAAGTTTGGTCAAATTGAATAATCTTAAAATTCATTGTAAACTGCAAATATATTTTAAACAACAGACTTTAAAGTGGCTGTCGGTACACCTCGCCAAGTAAATGGGGCATTTCATTGGGGCATTTCATTAGTAAATGCCCATGAATCCTTAGACTTTTAGGCTGCAATAAATACATAGTATTTGGTTCACACACCATTTATATGAAAATTATAATGCAATATAGTACGGAATAATATAGGGATTGTTATGTAAAAAACGATAATTAATAAATTGTTATGTGGTGATCCTATAAGAATTTTTTTATCTTTAGTTATTCTTATTCAACAAGTACTTAAACTACTACACTGGTAGAAGAAGAAAAAATAACTAAGTTAGATCAACTCAATTACTAATAAAGTAATGAAATTTGGACCTAACTCAACAATAAAAGTTAGCTCAAAAACTTAGTATTGCACCTATGAGCACGATAGCTGAAGGCGGACATACACGGAGCAATTTTTGCCAAAATATTGTAGGTTTATCTCTTACCTTTGGTTCCATGTTTATTTTCCGTATCTGTTGTATTAGGGAAAATCGAGTTAATATTTGAAATTAATTATGTGCTGACATGTCGAGACACGTGGATCAATGGAAGAATGACAGCTGGCAAAGAGTATTCAAAGAGCCGCAAGCCTTAATAGGTACAGGCAAATATTCAAGAAAACAAGAAGGAACGGTTACGAACGGTTACTCGGACCTCTTGATTGAAGAGACATCGGAGGAATGAACCTAGTTAGAAAAAACTACAGATACGTATTATCCGTAATCAATGAGCATCTATGATGGGGAACATTATAAAATCTTCACGAAACAGTTACGATTGCTAATTATAACGTTACATTAATGCCATTAATTACTCATAATGGCTCTATTATGAAAGGAAAGAAACGTAGTACTTAGAAATAGCTATAAAAGGAGAGAAATAACATTTGTATGGGAACACTGATTATTATTGAAATACACTAATTTACTTTGCTTTATTTGCTTACTCATCTACTTTTCAATTCAATTCTTCTTTTTCATTACGTAATTATTTCCTTATTTGATTATCAATAACCCGAGTTCTTCTAAAATTAAGCTTTGACTAAAATTTCTATTTTCTGGTTAAACAAATTGGTTCCGTTACTGGAAATCTAATAATCTTTTACTTTCTAAATCGACTCTTTTGTCAAAACAATCATGTTGAATGTCAACGGCAACACCCAAGAAAATTTACAACACCAAGAAAATCAGCAACATCAGGAGAATCAACAAGATGAAGGAACTCCAGTTCCCTCGCAACGAAACTCTCCTCGACAATCCTGAGAGGGGACTCCTGACGGATATGAATCAAATACGAATGAGCAGTTCCCAAATAATCAAGCTATTGATGAAGCTTTGAAAAAAAATTAATCGCCCAACAGGTCAGTAATGCTCTTCAGGATTTTGCTAACCATCTGCCAGGTGTTGTACCACCAACACCAACTCCAAACAACAATACCGTGGAAAATCCTCGCTCATGATTCGTTAACTCAGGCAGTGGAGGAACTCCTAGCAAATCTCGTGATGGAGGGTCAGGTAACCCAGTCAATTCTGATTTACAAAGTTTAGTACTAACTTTGCAGAAGCAGCCCAAAAAGCAGAGGGATCGCATAGAGCAGTTACCTGGAGTGCCTCCTGTAATCAAGGGAATAGATATGGACAAATACTCTCAACAACCCTAGAAGCCAAGTGTCACTCCTTTACCAATTCCAAAGAAATTCAAGATGTCCGATATTCCAAAATATGATGGAACAATTGATCCACGGGATCACGTAACTACATTCACAATTGGTGTAAAGGGCAACAATTTGACCAAGCAAGAAATTGAATTAGTATTGGTCAAAAAATTCGGAGAAACGCTCACGAGGGGAGCATTAACATGGTACTCTCTTTTACGTGAAAATTCTATAGATTCTTTTCCTAAGCTTGCATATTCATTTATCAAAGCACACTCGGGAGCTCAAAAAGTTAAAAAACGAATGGAGGACATTTTCAAAATAAAACAAGGAGATACATAGCTGCTCAAGGAATTCGTAGACAGATTTCAGCGTGAGAGGATGATGCTGCCACGTGTACCTGATAACTGTGCGGCTATGGCCTTTGCCAGTAATCTAAATGAAAAAATCTCGGAAGCTATGAGGAGACTCAAGGAAAGTTTACGAGAATTTCCAGCAATAACTTGGAGTGATGTTTATAATAGATACAACACGAAGCTGTGGATAGAAGAAGATACTATTATTCAGTCTCGGAAAGATGAAAGGGTGAGTTCAAGACGAGCTGAAACTGAAAAAAGGTCCAGTAAAAATAGGTACAAGTCTTACATGAGACTAGCAGGAAGGGAGTCGCGTTCAAAACAGGAAAACCCAAGGTATGATCCCAGATCAAGAGATAGAGAGTCAGGTTCATCATCAAGGTTCGAAAAAGCATGAAACATGCGAGATGATGATAGAAGCTCGAAAGCAAAGATCGGTGGTTACAGTTTTATTGTTAGCACATCCGAGTTAGTGGTTGTTTTGAGAATCATGGGAGACAAGGTACGGTGGCCAAAGGAAAT